GCGCACTACTCTTTGTCCGGTGAGTGGATGACAGGGGATTTTTATTGCGTGAGGGCAAAGCAACTTGACATTGCGAGCAGTACTCTCTTTCTCTGCTCAAGGGGACAATTTTAGCGAACAGTTCCCATGGCAGCAACACTATAAAGGAGGAGCCTTGCATTATATTCTTCAACAATTTCCTTTCTGACTTGAAACACACTGTTTCAGTGAGGGAAAACATTGGCCATGATCACTTCCATTTTCACTTATTTTCTTCTTCTATTTCTCGTTCACTTATTTTCTAATGAATTTATATTCCTCCAAGCAAGTGGATTTGGTTCCTATTCAACCAACTTCACAGCTTGTTGGGAGATAGAGAGAAATGCACTTCTCAAGTTCAAAGAAGGTCTCGAAGATCCTTCAGGCCGGCTTTCTTCTTGGGTTGGCATTTATTGTTGTACATGGTCAGGTGTTGGCTGCAACAGGCAAACGGGACATGTCACGAAGCTTGACCTCGGTATGCCGCCCATCAGTTTTAATATTAATGATCCAAAAGCTTTAGATTTTGCATCCTTACGAGGTACGATGAGTCCTTCATTGCTTGATCTGAAATATTTACATTACTTGGATCTAAGCTGGAACAATTTTGAACAAACTCCAATCCCCAACTTCATTGGTTCATTCACCAAGTTAGAATACCTTAATCTCTCTTATGCATCTTTTAGTGGCTTGGTTCCTCCCCATCTTGGAAATTTGTCAAACTTGCGTTACCTTGATCTCTCCTCACAAGGCTTAGATCAAGATACCTTGGTTTCTGATTTGAATTGGATCCATGGACTCTCTTCGTTGGAAATTCTCAGAATAAAGGTAGCAAACCTTAGTTTTGCTTCAGCCAATTGGTTGCAAGCTATAAACAAACTTCCTTCCTTGATGGAGTTAGATTTGTCTTTTTGTAGACTCCATGACATCCCTGCCTCTCTTCCAATTTTGAACTTCAGTTCTATTCAGGTCATTGATCTTTCACAAAATGATTTCAATTCACCATTACCTGGTTGGTTGTTCAATATCAGTTCTCTTGTTGAGCTTGACTTGTCTTCTAATGGCTTTAGTGGACAAATACCTCCATCTATACAAAATCTTAATAACATGAGGGATCTAGTACTTTATGAAAATGATCTCTCGGGTCTGCTTCCAATTTCTATTGGAAACTTATCATCCTTAGAGACTTTATTTCTCTCTTCCAACCAACTGAATGGAACAATTCCTGAAACCATTGGACAATTGAAAAAGTTGATTATGTTAGATCTTAGTTCTAATAATTGGGGAGGTGTTGTGTCTAGAATTCATTTTCTCCACCTAAACAATATGAAGGTTTTTCTGTTATCCTCTGTCAAAGAAAAGCCACTCGTATTTGATGTGGGATATGACTGGATTCCTCCTTTCAGTCTAAATTTAATCTTCATTAAAAATTGTCAAATGAATCCCAAATTTCCTATATGGCTCCAAACTCAGAAGGAACTGAAGATTGTTGAGCTTATAGAAGTTGGAATTTCAGGTTATGTACCTGATTGGTTCTGGAAATTGAGTCCACAAATTGAGAAGTTATCTCTTCACAATAACAAATTGTGTGGAGAGCTTCCAAGATCATTACAATATTCACATTCTTCGATAGACCTCAGTGTCAACTTATTTGAAGGACCAATTCCACTATTTTCTGGTGTCAACATGCTCAGTTTGAAAAACAACTCACTCTCAGGACCAATTCCAGCAAATTTTGTCGATGCCATGCTACATTTAGCATTTATGGATCTTTCTGAGAACTACTTCAATGGCAGCATTCCTTCTTCAATAAATAAGTTGGAGAGGCTGGAAGTTTTGTTGCTACAAAATAATGAACTTTCTGGAAAGATTCCTTCAATGAATAGATTGAACAATTTATGGACATTAGACCTTTCAAATAACAATTTATTTGGCAACATTCCAAGCTCCTTGTGCTCACAGTCTTCTCTTATTCATTTGAAATTGAATGGCAACAATTTTTATGGAAATCTTTCATCCTTGCAAAACTGCACAAACTTAGGTACACTCGGTCTGGCAAATAATCAGTTTCATCGAGGCATTCCAAGATGGATTGGAGAAACTCTATCTTGTTTATCAATACTACAATTACGAGGAAACATGTTTAGGGGAAAGATACCAAAAAGTTTGTGCAGTCTTCCTTTACTCCATGTTTTGGATTTAGGGCAGAATAATTTTTCGGGATTAATTCCACCATGTCTAGGCAATTTAAGTAGCCTGTATCACTCAAAAAATAGTACTTTTGTATCTGCTGCTGTTGCTGCTCATGCTCTTGTTGCTAATGCTGTTGCTACTACCACTACTTTTGCCAACTTTGTTTCCACTACTGGTGTTAGTGGTAAGAAGGGTGCTATTGTTGCTGCTAATATTCTTGAGGGGTTTATGCCTTTCCTTTCTGGAATGCGGGACATGGAATTTAATGTTAAAGGACAAACACTTCAATTTGTTAACATTATTGATCTCGTGAATTTGATAGATTTATCAAGTAATAATCTTGAAGGGGAAATTCCAGAAGAGATAATGAAGCTTTCTGCCTTGGGTACATTGAACTTATCTCAGAATCAATTAATAGGAAACATCCCTAAAAAGATTGGAGACTTGAAGCTACTAGAAACTCTTGACCTCTCAGTCAACCATCTTTCAGGCCCGATTCCAGCAAGCATATCATCTATGACATTGTTAAGCCATCTAAATTTGTCTTATAATGATTTGTCTGGGCAAATCCCATTAGCAAACCAATTCCAAACCTTCAATGATCCATCCATTTATGAAGGAAACCCAAAACTTTGTGGAGCTCCATTGCCAATCAACTGTAATGCTCCTCCAAACGAACCTATTGGCAAAGACAGAGATGAAAGCTGCTCAGAAAGGTTGTGGTTCTACATTGGAACAACATCTGGATTTGTGGTGGGATTCTGGGTTGTTTGTGGAACTTTGGTGATCAAGAGGTCTTGGAGACATGCCTACTTCCGCTTCGTGGAAGAAATGAAAGATATGATCTACATCTTCATTGTAGTGAAGGTAGCTCGTTTGCAAAAGAAGTTGAAGGGTAGTGAAAGAAGTTGAGACCGTGGTGAAGGTATTTATCTTTCACATCTACTTTTGCATAATACAGGTATAACCTAAGCACAATGATTGATACATCCTTCAGTTTAATATACTTTACAATTCATTTATTAAAAGTTATTATTTTTAAATTTGAATTGAAGGCAAAAAAACTTAAAACTATAAATTTTAATAACTAATTAAACCAGTTGATATTGGCTGGTATATTAAATTGAATTGAAGGGTGTATCAATTATTTTTCATAACCCAATTTAAGTTCTGACCTTTTGTCATTTTTCTTTTAGGTAATAAATTTATGTCTTTCGTTGGGTTACTACTCCAAATCTGCCATTTGTGTAGCCATGATGTGCAGTTTCTACTTAGGAGGCTTTGAAATATAAAGTCTAATCAGTTTGGTGGATGTTTATCTTGTGTTTCCAATAACAATAGAGTTTATTACTTGTGTTGTCATGGAATGTGAGTGTTTTCAATCAATTGTTGTGTGCTCTTGAGAGTTATTGGTGAACCAAAGAAGTTGTCTTGTTTATATCATTTCGATTAATGAAAATTGATGTTCTATGTGGTTGTGATTCCATAAAAGCTTGTAACCTAAATTTTATTGATGAACATACTTCAATTTCTCCCCCAAAATAAAAAGCATGACAAAAGGTTTTAATCAAACGCTAAAAAACCTTGAAATTTTACAGTCATTGTTTTCCCTACCATTCCAACTGTTTACCACTGGCCTTGTGTTAATCAGCTTTCATCTCCTCATGTACTGCAAATTATATGAAGAGATTTCATTTTCTATCTCTCCATAAAGAGTATGATTTATTACATTTTCCTTTAGAATTGATCAGCTCCTACACCCTTTGAGACACTATGTTATGAATAGAAAGGACGATGCTCATGTTCTATAGACTTCTACAGATCATGAAGCATGAATCAACTGTAAAAAAAAACATAATAAATATACAAAGTTTTCTTCTATCCCATTTTATAGATGCAGCAGCACTATTAGAATAGATTATATATTACTTTGACGAGCAACTATAGTGAAAAGAAGAGAAAAAAAAATTTGAGATTTTGTCTTTCTTACCAAAATGGTAATTCTGAAGTGTGAAATTCTAAAAGGATTCATACAGCTTGAACATTTGGCTTACAACCATTAGTTTTGGGAGGGAGCCTCTTTCTCTCTCGCCAAAGCTCAAGCTTCGCACCAAACCTGGAAGGTAGCATTGTGCAGACTGGCTTGATTTCTCTTTTTTGGGTATGGATCCTTTGTATGGAGTTATTTCACCACTAGGTGTGGAGTTTGGTATTGATGCAACTAAGCCTTTCATGGCAAATCTTTCAAGTTGGGCAAGGTTTGCAGGTTTGTCTTCCTAAATTTTGATCAACATTCACAGAGGCAGTATTGTTGAAGCTCTCACAAAAGAGCCCAATTAGTTGTTTTTTCATATCATTTGGTGAAGGTTCATCATCCACACCAGGAGCTTTGTCATGTACAGAATTTTCTATGGACCTTTCAAGACGCATGGGAGTGTTATCTTGAGAAGGGGTAGGATCTGCATGAAAAATCTAGTCAAATACCATATACAAATTTTTATATTTAAAGATAAATCTCACTGAATAAAAATAAAGACCAACCTATCTTTAAATATAGATTGGATAGCCAGAAGAAGAGTAATTTTTAAATAAGGCGCACATGAGAAACTTTATAGGTGGTGTAATTAGACTAGTTACAAAGTAAAATGGAAAGGAATGAAGCCCATCTTATTTAGAATGGCTTAGATGGCACCACAGCAAGTGTGCCAAAAGAATTTCAGAGCTTATATGGGCAAGTCTTTACCATGATGAGATCAAGTTAATGTTCATAATGATGCAAGATCTTGTCACCTTCTAGTTCAGTTTCAGTACTTTATTGTTTTATTACTTTTGATTTAAGATGCAGTTGCCTGTGTCCATTATCAGCTTGTGAACCTGAAGCTAGGAGAGAACTCCCATGAATGTGGAAGGTATCTTGGCTTAAACTTATAGCACGTCCCTCTTCATCAGCCAAATAGAAAAAAAGGTAAGCATTTTTCTGTAAATCATCATTCCACCTAGATCTTTCACATGATCAATCAAGATAGAATCACATAAATATCAGCTAAGACACGCAAAATAGAAAAATCAGATATGTCCGCATGGTATTTATTGCACATTCTTGAAACGTCAAATGTTGCAATAGTTCAGACAATTACTTCTCACTCTGCACATCAATCCTTACTGCCCAATCACATCCATAGCCACCGCCATCCCCTTTAGATTTCAAGAAACTTGTTTCCAGGGTCATGTCCTGGTCAACCAGAAGTTGATGTCCAAAATCACGTACATTATGCTGTGTCCACCCATATCCGCTTAGCTCATCAGAGCCTTGACAGACATGTCGTATAAAAAACCTTCCATCCTTCAAACCAATCCACATCAATCCAAAAATTAAAGAGCGAGGAGTCCTGCCAATCACAAGAACAATAGCTAATTAACACCATACCTCCTCTGATTTGCTAAGGAAAATTAAAGCCAAGAATGAAAA